AAAATTAAAAAGACTTTGGCTAGAAAAAGGATGTGCAGCTTGACTAGTGTGATCAGCATCAAGCTCCATTGTGTTCTAACTGGGATTGTTTGTTTTTATTCTAATGTTCAATTTAAAATGTTAAATAAATGCATGTGTATGTGTTAATACCAAGTAATGTTTTCTATTTATTTTTAAATATTATTAAATAAATTAGGAAAAAAAGCCAAAGCCAATTTAGCAAATTATATTTCAACCCCATTGGTTGCCTTGGTGAAAAACTGCATATTTGATTCATTCAGTCAGGAAGACTCTCAAAGCAAGCGTCCATTACAGAAATGCGACCTCCGGTGGACAGCTGCAGTCTCCGAAATGTATATTTATATATTTTTATATGATTTACATTAGCAAATAATATTATAAATATGAATGTAAATCTTAGGTAAGCAGGTTACATTATAACCTCATGTCCTAACAACAGCTGCGTGATGAAATATGCAGTTATAAGCAATTGGGTAGTTGGCACTAAACAAAACACGACAGAAATTTAAATAAAGTCATGAAGAAGCATAGAATAGTGCACTTACTGCACTCCAACAAAATAGTAAGGGTTATAATCTAATTAATATATATTAAACCTCTTAGCATTATTAAATGTACATGCCAAATCACTGATAGTGAGTCACAGTTCTAAAGTTCAATTTCAAATGATTTAGGTAAACTGTCTGCTGCTGCTTTCAGTAGTATATCAATAAATGTCATGTAAAAAGGCATTCTAACTCACATTATAAGCATTTAACACAGAATAAAGCACATGAGGTGAACCTGAGGTGATCATAGTCAGTTTTCAGTTGTTCAGCTGCAAGAAATAAAAGCCGTTTCTAATATATCAATTTCAGGTGTTGGTTAGGACAAAAACTCCTTTTAATATGGAAAATATTTTCTCTATCGCATTGTTACTTTTATTTAGAACATGGTTTAAATTAGCCTTTAGGCTTAATAGTCAGGCTCGCTCCTGTTGGTGTCCTCAATCTGGCAACCTGCACTTGCATGTGTTTTAAACCAGGCGTGCGATACCTAGTTAAACCACTGGGTGTCAAACTCAAATACTGCACCTATAACATCGGCCGACAGTCCTTAATCAGCTTTAGTCTTTGTTCCTTCATGAGAAACAGTTTGGGCACCCCTGTTATAAACCTGTATGAGTTTCTTTCTTCTGTTGAACAAAAAAGAAGATATTTTGAAGAAAGCTGAAAACCGGTGACCATTGACATCAATAGTAGGAAAAACAAATGCTATGGAAGTCAAGTTACTGATATTCAGCTTTTTTCCTAAATATCTTCTTACACCTTCTTAAAAAAATCCTAAACAGGTTGGGAAAAAGAGAAGGCAGTGCAAATAATGACAATTAACTTTTTTGATGAACTTTCCCTTTAACATTGACTTTGTTGCACACTACATTAATTTTATGATAGATTTTATTGAAAACGCTGTCGTGTAAATGGGAAACTTTTTAAAATTCCTTTTTAGCAACATTGTTGTCGTCTAAATGGAGCCTAAGTATCAGTAATCTGTAGCGCAACACAGATACAGTCGCCTACACTTTTGTAGGACAGGCTTTCACAGCACTGGAGCTCTGTGTGTGTCTGGGTGAAAATGGCATTTAATGGCACTGCTGTCTAAAAACAGCATTATTACTGTAACAAAAATGACAGTTGGGGTGGGGGTGAGTGATAGAAAAGAGAAAGAGAGAGAAATACTGTTCCTGTTATCTCACAGAAGCTTGAGGAACCATGAGGACCGTGAAGACCCGGAGGAAGAAACAGACAATGAAAATAAGCGCAAAAGGAAAGCTTGTCGTTTCCTCCAGACATTCCTATATCTCTCTCTCTAACTCCTCCACAAGGCCGCTCTGAGACTCTGATGCAATAAGCCATCTGAATGCTGTCACCTGCTACGCTGCATCTTGATTGAGTTCTTTGCTGTAAGAAAAGCTGGGAAATGGCTGACAGCTTAGTTGAGGGACCTGGGCTTTCCCAGACCTCTCTCTCACACATATATACACATATACACACATCGTTTGACACCAAACCCACTGCTGGTTCCATTATTTGCATGTTTGGGTGCCTGTCACAGATGGAGTGCTGATAAAGGTATTGAGCGGTAGAGTATGACGGAGCCCCTGCACTTACACTACCACCACATCTACTAGGACTAAGCGGTGCTGACTGGTGTGATTAGCTTGATTTATCACTTAAAGAATCCGCTGATAATATTTCAGATTATTTGCAGCAGTCCATAACCAGCTCATAAATATACAGTAGCCTATAATTGTCAGATTCAAAAGGCAATTGTCATGTTAAAGGCTTATGATAATGCTTGTGTTATTTAAAATATTTTAATGTATCCCTGTGTTTGACATTGACTAAATAAGGGTTTAAAATGCTTAAACATGTATGCAGATTACTTTAAAAGGTAAAAACAACTTTTACATTACTTTATGTGATAACCCAAAAGCCAATGGAAAAACCCTACACATTTTTGCCAATGGAACCAGGGTCATCCCTGCAGCACTCCATATTTTTTATTAAATATTGTATGTGACCCTGGACCACAAAACCAGCCTTATGTTGCAGGGGTTTATTTTTGGCGATTGTATGAGACAAAACTATACAGTATATATTTTGCATGCCAAGAATCATTAAGATATCAAGTAGATATTAAGATCACATTCTGTCAAGATGTTTTGTAACTATTGTTCTACAAATATGATTAGTAATATGCATTGCTAAGAATTTAATCTGCACATGATTTATTTTTGAATATTGATTTTATTTTGAACTCTTAGATTCCAGATTTTTAAATACTGTATCTTGGCTAGGCATGGGACGATAACTGGTTTCAAGGTTTACTGCGATTTGGGAAAATCAAGGTTTTAATTCCGCTAAAATGTTCTGTTATACCATTCCTAGGATATTTGTAAGGTTTTAAAAGTATTTTTATGTGTTGTTAAGTAATCTATGTTTTAGACGCCTCACAGCATGAAGGTTGCTGGGTCGCTGGTTCGAACCTCGGCTCAGTTGGCGTTTCTGTGTGGAGTTTGCATGTTCTCCCTGCCTTCGCGTGGGTTTCCTCCGGGTGCTCCGGTTTCCCCCAAAGACATGCGGTACAGGTGAATTGAAGGTAGGCTAAATTGTCTGTAGTGTGTGTGTGGATGTTTCCCAGAGATGGGTTGCAGCTGGAAGGGCATCCGCTGCGTAAAAACTTGCTGGATAAGTTGGTGGTTCATTCCGCTGTGGCGACCCTGGATTAATAAAGGGACTAAGCCGACAAGGAATGAATGTTTACTGTTCCAAAATATTATAAATGTTTCTCAAAATGAAATAAATTGTGTTCAATGGGGGAAAAAGTTTTCAGTTTTTTACCCAGATATTTAAAAAGAACATATTTTAGAGCATTTACCACAATACCGTGATACCATGAATATACCATGAATACAAAGGTATTTTTATCCAAGGTTATCATACTGTCAGAAACTTATACTGGGCTATGCCTAATCTTGGCCAAATATAATTGTATCCAAACAAATGATACATCAATAAAAAAGCTTTTATATTAAGCAAATGTTAAATAAATCTAAGAACAAGTGACCCTAATGACTGGTTTTGTGGTCCAGGACCTCAATTACTACACCATTTTGAGAAGATACTGTACATAAAATACATGTTAATTTAAGAATATATTTCATACTGCTATGTACCGGCAAAGGAGAGCCAATGATGACAGAATTTGAATATATTTTTCTCTTTATGTAATATCTCTTTAACATTGCCCTTGTTACACATTACTATTACTATATTATTACAATAGACTTTATTGAAAACTATGTCATGTAAAAGCAAAACTCTTTAAAATGCAAGGTAGAAACATATCAGTTTTTGGCTACAATGTTGTCGTCTAAATGTAGCCCAACGATCAGTAATCTGTAGCACAACATACACAGCAGGGAAAATAAGTCTTGAACACATCCCCATTATTCTCAGAAAACATATTTTTAAAGGTGCTGTTGACTTGAAACTTTCCCTGGATGAAATCCATATATGCAAGGAAAACTAATTAATTACAAATTAAGTAATGTGAAATAAAATGAAACGACAGGGAAAAAGTATTGAACACATAAAGAAAGGGAGCTGAAGAAAGGCAGTGAAAGCCCAGACAGCAGCTAAAATATCTCAGTAGTTATTCAGTAACTTTCTGTCCTCCGTCATTGTAAGTGAATATTAGCTGCTTCAGTTCAACGTTTACATTATCAAGATGATGAAGATGAAACTAGATTGGACATTTCAGCAAAACAATGATCCCAAACACAGCCAAGGAAACTCTCAAATTCTTTTTGAGAAAGAAAATCAAGCTGTAGAATGGCCTAACCAATCACCTGACTTGTTAAATCCAATATAAAATACAAAATAAAAATCAGATTTGATAGACGAGAAACCCACAGAACCATAAAGACTTTTACACTCTGCTGTCACACCTGAGCAATTCATGTGACTTCTTTCTACACATAAGAGGCATCTTTAAAATGTCATTAACAAAAAAAGCTTTTTATATAAAGTATTAAATATGTTTGAGTACTTCAGTACTTTATCCTTTTGTCATTCCATTGTTATGTCACATAACTCATATTTCAGATTTGTAAAAACATTTTTATGTTTGTATTGTTTGGGTTTTTACCTAAATCTAGTTCAATTCCATATCAACAGCTCCTTTAGAAATATTATACCCAGAAAAAACATGATGTGTTCAATACTTTTTTCCCCACTGTACTTTATGACTGGTTTTGTGGTCCAGGGCCTCGTGTACTTTACTATTTTGTGTAAATATTGTATACAAAATACACATACATTTATTTTTATAGTGCTATGTACTGGCATCATCTACTGAAAAACGCCTTATTGATTGACAAGTAGAATGAGGTTTATAAATCTTTGCGATGTACAGAACACAAGGACTGGACTCACTGTTGGTTTTGAGGCGAGCGGGTTCACTGTTTCTGCTTCCTGCCTGGTTGATGGCCTTGACGAAAAAGATGTAACGAGTCCCGCTCTGCAGGCCGTGGACTGTGTAGTGATTCTGCTTGATATTGGGTACAATCATCCAACTATCCACAGAGTTATATAGACCTGAACGCAAGAGAGAGAGAAAAGAGAGCATAACATTAATAACAGATTTAACCTTTTTTCCAAGTTGCGCTTAAATCAGGACTATGCCAGCACACATTCAGATCATTTACATGTGATAGTCATACCAAAAGTAAACTGAAAATAGAATTAAGGCATCTGGAGTATTCTTATTTTAATCACAAGTTTTTACTGCATTTTATGACAAGTTACACATATGACAGTGATCAATACATTGAAGGCAAACAAAAGAACATGACTTTGATCAAGATTTGCAATACAGGCTCACTGGACATACATGCTTTAGCCTACATTTATGTGAAACAGCAAATACATACTCTAAGTCAAGTGAACGGTATGGGAAAGTATAACTCAATGTTTGTTCCTTTTCACACTAATGATATTAACAGGGACATATTCTCCAGGTACAGGAGAAGCATCGGAGGAGATATTGGAGCTGGGGGTAGTGGAAGCGTGAATCCACGACCTCGAAACGAAATGTGTACAGCTGCAGGAGCAAAGAGCTAAGCTTATGCTCAATACCTCCATGCAGCTCACCCATCTGAGGTAAGTGTGTGGTACAATTTTAAAACTCCTTCTATCTCAACTCTGTGTGTTTTTCTGTCCAGGCCCAGCACACTTGGGACTCGGCACATCTGCTGCCCCTGGGTGCAGCGGTGGAAGACCTGAGTCAGCTCCCAGGGGAGAGATTATCCTCCTCTTCTGCATCCTGGGATTGAGATTTCCACAGAATGCTACATCATAATCATCGGCTATTCCATTGCTTGACATGTCCATGCTACTTTCGCTAAGAGTAATGTGCACTCGCTGTTCTCCTGATGCTCATGTTAATGATGTCTCTGCTAAGATACTCGCTATCCTGAACGGTGATCAGAGCATTGGAGCCAATGCATTGGAGCATTGGAACGACAGCAAAATTTGCCCCAAGTTATTCATTCATTTATTTTCCTTCGACTTAGTCCTTTATTTATTAGGGTTTGCCACGGAGGAAGGAATCACCAACTGTTCTGGCATACGTTTTACGCAGCGGATGCCCTTCTAGCCACAACCCAGAACCGCGAAACAACCTATACACTCTCTCATTCACAAACTCATCCATTTCACCTATAGCAAATGTCTCTGGACTATGGGGGAAACCGGAGCACCTGGAGGAAACCCACCCAAACACAGAAAGAACATGCAAACTCCACACAGAAACGCTAACTAGCCCAGGCGGAACTCAAATCAGCGACCTTCTTGAGGCGATAGTGCTAACCACTGAGAAGTTACATATTTTAAATTCTGAAAAAAATTAGACTGCACACTCTAAAGCAGTGGTTCTCAAACATTTTTCATCAAGTACCACCTCGGAAAAAAATTGTCTTTGCAAGTACCACCATAATGAGCAGTTTTGAAATACAGTAGCGTATTAGGTCTAGTAAAGCAGCTTAAGCTCTGTACAGTTTAAAAAAGAAATAACTCCTGGTTTGTTAGCACCTGGAAATGTTGCCTAGACCTCATTAATATAGGCTTTATGTCATCATATTCGTATATAAATCATTTTTGATAATTTCTTTAAATATATGTAGCATGTACATATTACATATTTGATTCATCCGCGTACCACTAGAAGGAAGCCTGCGTACCACTAGTGGTACACGTACCACAGTTTGAGAACCACTGCTCTAAAGTATTTGTCATCTGAAATGTGCATGTACGCAATGTATGTTAGGTTTTGTGATGCAGTGTATTGCAGACTGGGCTGAAGAATTTGCATCCATTGTGTGTTTTGGAATGTCAGATTGCATTGCATGGGGAAATAATTAGTTATCAATACATGTATATACTATATAACAAGCAACACGGGAATGTTCTAAAAGTCTCATCATACAATTATTCAGAATAAAGTATATAATTAGATTTCTGTGGTCCATGTAAACAGACCCACTGACAAGAACTGTGCAATAATCAGCACACAGGAATAAATGTTTGAACACACTGTGATTCTAAAAAGGGAATGGTACACATGAAGTTAATTATTCAAGGCTTGTCTATTTTTGTTTGATGTGAAAGCACATATAGCACAGGTTGGGAGAGAGACTCAGGATGTTTGCTTTAAGCAAACACCAATGTCCCCCTGGCCAGTTTCTCACAGTGAGGAATAAAGAAAGAATATTACTGCTGCTGCTAATACATATTTACTGTAATTATATTTTGAGTAAACACTGACTGTCAGATATATTCAACATTATATTAGCTACTTTGTCATCCTGCCTAAAGTAATAATAATAATAATAAAAATAATAATAATAATATAATTATAATATAATTATAATAATATTAATATAATAATAATAATATTATTAATAATAATAATAATAATAATAAGGTCACACTTTATTTTGATCGTCCGTTTGTTAAAATTAAGTTAAATTGCATCTATATGCATACTAATTCTCAGTAGACTGTTAGGTGGAAGTTAGGGTTAGTGTAAGTTTACATGTACTTGCAGTTATAAGTTTCTTATAGTCAGTTAAATATCTGTTGAAGGAGCAGTATCAGCAGATATTAAGCAGACGGTCTACTAATGCTCAAATGGACCATTAAAATAAAGTGTTAACAATATTAATAAAAGACGTAATTGTTATTTCTAATGATAATAATATACAAAAATTTGTATATATATATATACTACATAATGTCCAAATTAATATACAAATTTTTGAATATTATATATATATATATATATATATATATATATATATATATATATATATATATATATATATATATAATAAAAATAAAACAACATAAAATAATTAAATTAAATATTGCTTATATCCATTATATTATCAGCAATACTAAATTATCCTTATCATTAAACAACTAAAAAAAGCAAGCTTTCAGTCAGCACAATATGTCCTTTTCACAAAGACAGCTATTGCATCATTCAACTGAATGAAAACCACACACCGCAGGAATCTAGCTGCCTGGTTATAAATGTAATTGCATATCAGTAAGCATGAAAATAAATTAAAAAGCACAACATGCGATCACTGTATTAAATAAAAAGCAAAGCTTGTATTAACAATTCACTTCCACCATCTAGATGATTAATCATTTTTTATGAGCAATAAAGTCATTTATCCACATCCATATCAAAAAATCGTTTGATGTAGTTGTTTGACGACCAGAATTACAATAGCCAATGACAATGTGCTGCTTACATTGTAAATTCACTGCTGCTGCTTGACATTGGGAGAGAGACTTCAAAGAGAGGCAGATGAAGGTATGTGTCACTGGCTAAAAAGAAAGCAGTGTGAATAGGGATCTAGACTGTGCATATGCGTGCTTGCGTGCGTGCGTGTGTGTGTTGGCACATGAAAGGGAGCCAAAACATAAGACTGGAAAACAGGACTGCTCCCAATCCTGTCAGCAAATCCAAACTAGCCTTTGATGCTTCTATTGTGTGTGTTTCCATGAATGTGCATGTGCCTAGATGTCAATTACCAATTCTCTTGATAAGTTTATTCTACTGTACAGTGGTAATTAGCACTTTCATTCAGATTTATTTACGTTATACTTAAGTTTTATTCTGATGTGTAGTGAACAAGCTTGAGTCAAGTATCTGTGTCTATATGATATGACAACAGTTTATATTCACTTCATTATAAACCAGTGTAATGCTTATGATGTGACTCTCAGACTCTCTTTAATTGTCAAAAACAATTACATCTAATGTTTACATATACACACACTCACGCATGCATACACTCTCAGAATTAAAAGTACCTGTCACTGGGCTGGAAACTTTTTAAAGGTACACTTTTATACCTTAAAAGTGCACATTTGTACCTTAAAAATACAATTTTGCACCTTTAGGGTATGCTTTTGTATCTTTAAGGTACTATGAACTACACATTTATACTTTTTTAGACATTAATATTTACCTTTAAGGTACATATGTGACCTTTTGACAAGATACCACAACAGTGAAAGGTTTTGTACCATTAATTAATGAGAGTACACGCATATTTCCTATTGAATAATTATAGGCTCCACAAGTCAAACATGGTAAAAATTGCTAAATTATTACAGTTATTGTTTAAAGTACTTCCAATTAGGGCTGCATAATATATTGTTTCAGCATCGATATCGCTACATGCAAGTCCGCAATAGTCACATCACAGGGATCTGCAGTGTAGTTGGGATTATAGTTGACCATAAATTACAGTTAACAACATTGTGGAAAAATTTCAGATTTTACCCTTGAAGTGAAAGTTTATTATTTGCATGTGTTTTTAAGATCTAAATGTGAGAATTTGAAGCAAATTTAGGCCATTTGGGCACAATAAATTAAATGTTTGTAGCTTAAAAATTAAATTTGCATTATATAACATGGTTTCCGCTGCATTCATTCTTCCATAGCGGGGCGCCGTACCAAAATTGATCCCTCCACGGCTACATTAAAACTTTTCATTCAAAATATTAAATATATCTTTTGTGTTTTTTTTTTTTTTTTTTTTTTAAATAGCGGGTGATAATCGCACCAAAATGTATTGAAAGGTAAGTGAATTATATCAGCTCAATCTTTTCTGTAACCGTAGTAGTGCTGTGTGTTATTTTTTTAACACTTTAAGGTTACGTGTTGACTGGCTGACTCACTTTACTTTAGGACACATTAATACCGCTCTGTAGGTCTATTGGAGACGTTCATAAATATTCCTAGCAAGTCATATAAGTGTTGGAGACACACTTGTTACATAAACGCACTAAATTGCACTTTAGCAGCGTTTATTTGAGAGTGCACAAGAAGATCTGCGCTTGAGCAGCGTATATTTGAGGGGGCATGCAAGAAGTTTTGTGCATGAGCAGAGGAAATCGGCCTGCAACCAAAGAGATTTGCATATTTTTAAGGTATAACATAAATGCGATCTCGACTTGTAATTCTGCGCTCACGCCATTTGTCATTGAAATAACGCCACAGGTAGTTGGTTGATCTG